GAAATCTCAGCACCGAAGCATGTGTGGATGCTGTATAGAAATCTCTGTTATGTGAACGGTATGGAGAATATCCCTGTAACCATGAACTAAAATAAAAATTTGATGTCAGATTCCTGTAAGGACTGGAGAACTTTTTCTAGCAACAGTATCCGCTGAAAACAAATGTTCACAGATTTTTGAAGAAACTGCCTTCTATACGGCAGGAGCGGTAGGTATAAGCTCGTGATAACAAGGTGTGGGAAGGATCGACCTCAAGTCCGCAGGGATTAATAAAAGCGAAGCACCACAACGAAAGTATGTCTGAATTCCCTTCCTCCACCTCCACCTCAACATCAACATCATGATGATGACTGATGATTGATGATGATGATTGATGATGATGATTGGTGATGACGATGATTGACGATGATGATGATGACAAAAACCGTTTTTGAAAAATTCGAATTTTCAGTGAAAAAAAAAAATCGCGAAACAAAAAATCGTGAATATAACGTCGGGCACTCGGTCAAAGATAATAGCGATTTTTGCTCAAATATCGATATGGAGCATTTTGTCCTCATTCTCACAATAGTAATTTCCTCATGTTCAATTGCTCAACATATTCACTGCTTCAAAAACAATGCTATGACGATGAAGATAAGCGTACCTTAACTGGTGATCCATCTGTAAGCATTTCTGCCTAAAAAGCTTCTCAGCCTCCTCCAACTTCGCAATCATAAGTTGTTGTGCTTCGATTTGGTTCTGCAAACTAGTGATGCGTTCCTCCGTACGCTCCCTCTCTTCACTCATTTTTTTCTGATACTGATTTGCACGGATTCGTTCAGCCATCAATTTCAAGTTTGCATCATCCTGATCAAAAGAAAAATGTATTTGAAACGAATCGTTAATGAAATAATCCTTTTCATGTGCTCCAAGACTGTGCGTATGCATTTAAGCATGTGTGTGTGTTTGTGTGTGCGGATAAGTGTTCGTTTCTGCATGGTGTGTGTGTGTGTATTTGTGTGCGCGGATAAGTGATTGTTTTGCATGGCGTTTGTGAGGTATTTTCAGCTTGGAAACTGGACGATCTGTCTAGCCAAAATTTAGGAAAAAAGTTATTTTGGCCCTGTAGTGTTTTAGTGCCAATTTTAGCCTTTAGTTCAGTGGGAAAAATCAAGCGGTGCAAAAGAAGAATATACTCCCGTCCCTGCTACGCACTACATTTTTTATTTACATTCTTTATGAGAAAGGTGATGCACATACATAAAACAGGCGATGGGTGTCCTAGTAACATCGACAGTCAGAGAAATCCTAAACTGACAGCCCGAGCGGTCGTCATATTTGATGTTTATCTGTCAAATTAAAAAAGACATCAAAATCCCAGCATTCCATTCCCTTGCTAAGCCAACACACCTTTGCTATTTCTTTCATCTCACTTGCTTGCGATAACTTTAAAAATATCATTCACCAGGGTTTTTGGATCTTTTTGCCCGCATATGAACATCAATGAGCAATTTCAATAACCCCCCGCCTCTCGACAATGAGCTATTTCAGCTTGATGATTTGCACTTGTAAAATTTTGTGCTCCTCTGCTTTAATTCTAAATACCTGCCTAATCTTCGTGCCTGCTCATATAAGTTTTACATTCCCTCTTTTAATTATCCATTTTTTTTTGCTTCCAAAACAACTTTCACCTTTCCCATCACACATATCTTTCTCCTTGACAACAATGTTTATCAGTCAAGAATTTTTACCAAAACACTGCGCAAAGGACGGAACAGCAACAAGTCAGTTGCCAGCTTGCGACTATGTCAGAAAATTGAAATGCATGAGCGGAGACACGAGAACGTGAGTCACTCGTCCGACGTTCATCAAAGTTCTGGACCAATTCCAGCCTCCCTCTTCCTTCCCTCCTTTCCCAAACATTTTAGGAAAATCAAATCAGAACGTCATACTTTCTCTCTAAGCTGTTGCAGTAGTCGTATATTCTGCTCTTGCATTTCTTCAAAAGCTTGACCCGTAGTTTCCACATCATTCATCAGGCCTTCTTCCTCCTGCCTCGCTGAATGCGCTTCCTTACGCAAACGATCCGCAGCCTCTTCCAGACTTCTAAAAACAAATCAGGACCTTACGCCGTTGATGGTGCCCTAACCTTCACTCAAGAATTCCCCCTTTAACATTGCAGGAGTGGAAATGCTCATGTCAAAGTACGGCCGGATTTTAAATAACATTATTGGGGCCTGTAAAATATGTTTATCACTGACCTACATACTTTCAACTGTTATTATCCAAAGCTATATTAGTGAAAAATAAAAGTTCACTCCAACCACATCAAGAACGTATCAATTCGGCCAATTTTAGCAACTTTACTTAAAATTTTCCAGCCATATTACATCACTTTCCTTTTAACTAAACGCAACGAATGAGGCCCAGAAATTTTTCTTTTTTTATAACCATCCAACAATCATCAAATGTTCGGTTTGACATGCTGCATTTACAGAATCGTTGCGAGTATGGGGAAAATGAAACTCAGTGGTCAAGGCATCTTCTCAACTGATAACCAACGGATGCTGTACATCAGCGAGTGATATTCGCAAGAAGGAAGAAATTGTTTCTGTAGCCTTTGAAGAAGCAGCGGCGCACAAGCAATGGCTACTGGCTGGGAATGGGCAGCAAAAAACAAAACAACGTGTACGAGCGCCTCAAAGTTTTGGCGGAAAATCGCTAACTTGGGGACCAGAAAAGTTAGAAAGCTGAAATTTTGGAATTATGTTCCCTGTCCATATAGAATTCAAAGTTTTTAAATTCAGCTCCCGCCTAGCACAGCTGCGCCCGGTACCAGCACCTGGGTGCAGTTAAGCAACATTACTAATAACACAAGTGCATTTCAACAGTGCGGATGAATTCAGTAATGTACGTATTGTGGCTAAAATTGGAACATCAATATCTCTCAACGACACACTGACTACATCTTCTGTCGCTTCAGCCACAAATACAATACGCTGCTGTCCCAGCAGTAGCTTTTCGTCTCAAGAACTGATAGTTATTAATATACCACGCGCTGAATATTTTTATAAAAGCCCAGAAACAAAATATGAATAAACTCACCTAATTTTCTTCTGTGCCTCTTCCGAATAGAACTTCATTTTTTCCCTGCTGTCAGCGCCCATCAACTTTTTTATATGCACTTGCAGCTTATCATTTTCAAGCTTCAGCCTTCTTTCTCTTGCGAGAAGCTGAAATTATACAATGTGCTTACAACGAATTATATGTGGAAGATAAGCACAGGCAGAACGTTGCTTGGTGTAATGGGGAATTGCGCCTAATGTTGGGAACTATACCATTCGTTCAAACCAATTCATGCAGCAAATCATTTACAATCCGTTCATTAATCTTCGCTCTAAATTGGCACTAAGGGGGATTATTACGCCAGAAAAGCAGCCCTCGAATGAAGGACCCATCAATCTTGCCAAGGAGTGACGACTGCTAGCAAAATGCTACCACTTTTAGGCTATTGGTTTTGCATAAAGAACAAAATAATGAAGATGATTTGATTACAATTGATTCAAGAATAGCCTTGCCCTTGTAATTTTCACCCAATCCATCGAAAAACGGAACGGAGATCTTCTCTTCCCCTCTACTCCTACGAGTCAAGTTTTAGACACGGCAAATTTTCTAATAATTAAAGAATGAGGAATGCAAATTAACTGCAAATTTCTGGACTACGGTTCGGGTCAGACCACTAGAAGACTGGTGGCTGATTTCGATTTTTGACTTAGTACGGCCATCTAAACAAACATAATCGAAAAAACAATATTCCCCTCATCGCTCATAGATGCTGCAAAATTTACATTCTTGCATAAAAAAGTACTTTTTTCGAAATCCCTAAATCTCAAATTTTTTTCAAATCAATAAGGCAGTTTGGCGCCCAAGAAAAAAAAACCAACCTCAACTCGTTCTCTTTGATCGACATTTAATGCATTTAGCGCCTCAATTTTA